CTCTTCTAGGTTAAAAAAAACTGTCGTCCATAAAATGCGTTGCACAAATTCGAACATCTGGGTTGTGCTGTTCTGTTGTAAATAAATCTTAACCAATGATTCCTAATTGCATCTACTTCCGGAAGGAATAAAGTGCTTTTGCTTTCGCACTGAATCACACAGCGTCTCCCTGACATGGCTGCATCAACACTACTGCTGTTCCTGAAACCACGCCTTCTTTCTTTGCGTGCACATTTGGGCGGCATTATGCTAATATTTCCACATAGTGAAGTAGACATGTGGGGGCGTGTTAGAATGAGCCGTTTTAGGTAGGCGTGGTTGACTCTTAACTTTTATAAAGAATATCTCTTTGGATTTGAGACTTTAGTCTTACAGATCTTCTTTATGCACCAAGAGCTTGTAACACTTCAAAGAGAAAGGAAAACTTGAAATCGCATCATATGACCCCTTTAATAACTTCCTTTATCTCCTAGGATAAAGACCTGAAACAGTACCTAGATGACTGTGGAAACTGCATTCATATGCACAATGTCAAGGTAAGGCCTCTTTGACAAATGTCTTTCATTTCTGTTTCTCATAATCGTTCTGCTGCACATGGCAATCATAGACGGTGTTCTTAATATTCACCTGTGTGTTTTTTTCCATCTCAGCTGTTCCTGTTTCAGCTGTTGCGAGGTCTGAACTACTGTCACAGACGTAAAGTCCTTCACCGAGACCTCAAACCTCAAAATCTCCTGATCAACGACCGCGGGGAGCTAAAGCTGGCTGACTTTGGTCTGTAACATACAAGCCTGCTGTAACTAACTCATTCTTGCTCTTACTGTGTTCTCGTGGTGTGGGTGGTGTAACCTAGTGGTTAATGAACACCAGCTGCCCACTTACCTACTCGAAAAACTGAACCTCAGGTTGCTCCACTTGCATTGTCTCTGTAATCATTGTAGTGTTGCTTTAGCTAAAAGCACCTAGTGTACTAAGTGGATGTGTAATATCTTGTAAAGCTCTAAGCTTTCTGAAATTGGTCAAACTCCTTTTAAATAATTTGTTTTTTGTTTGGTCTTCAGGTCTGGCACGAGCAAAATCGATTCCCACCAAGACCTACTCCAATGAGGTGGTGACGCTTTGGTACCGCCCCCCTGACATCCTATTGGGCAGCACCGACTATTCCACTCCGATTGACATGTGGTGAGCATGCACCTGATGATTTATCTTGGTTTATTTGTTTTATTTTTTGTATTTTTATATACTACTATAGTATTTAGTAATAATTTGTTTTGTACTTTCGTTAAGTGCTTTTATTTTATTTTTTTTATATATTCCTATTTAGCTTTAATTTATTTTTTGTTTTAGTTTTAGTACTTCTACTAAAACTTTATTTAAATTAGTTGCCAAGGTAACATTTTTTGTTTCCATCTAAGTATTTTAAGTTTTTCATCTAATATTTATAATGTATTTTATTTAAACTTTATTTCAATTGCCGAAAATTATTTTTAGCATTTGTAGTTTTAGTTAAAAACACTGCTGATGATCACTTTCGAAACAATTATTTGAAAAAATCAAATTGGCTATTATTTTTATTTTTTATTTTATGATTTAATTTTTTAATTGAAAATTCAGGTTTTTTTTATATTTCTATTGCTGCCATGTACGCCATGTTACAGCATGCGTTCTTGCTTTCAAAAACAGCTAGAGGTAGTGCAGCAGATGTCAAAGACACAGTTTTTAACTTCTTTTAACTTGACACAGCCTCTGAAGAATGCAACAAGACAATGATGCAATGGCCAAAGACATCCATCCAACACATGACGTGCATGGCGGCAATAGCAAAATGAATAAAAAAAAAAAAAAAACAATGAACTAACTGGCAAGTAACTGAAATAGGTTTAAGCTGAAGTTCTAAAATTACTAAAACTACAACTGAAATAAAAATTAATGAAAGCTCAATAGAACTGTAAAAAACCCCCGAATAAAATGACAAGCGCATAACAAAATTATTAAAACTACAATTGTAATGAAAATTCAAAGTATTAATAAATAGTAATAGTAAGAATAGTATACAAACAATACTAAAGTAACATGTTGTGATTTTAAAAAGGCTTTTTTTTTCTGTACCAAACACTTATACCTTGTTAATTCAGTTCAAACTGCAAGCTCACATCGCTGTAAAATTATTTCTTGTACCATGGTGTTGTCGATTCAAATAGTGAGCAAATAATTGGACTCTTGTTTCTACTGTGGTAAAATCAGAGCACACTCTTCTTATGTCATAGCTTCTGTGGGGGTGAACTTGAATTGAGTTTTAATGACTCTCATTGCAGGGGTGTTGGCTGTATCTTCTACGAGATGTCTACAGGTCGACCCTTGTTCCCGGGCTCCACGGTGGAGGAGGAGCTGCACTTTATCTTCAAACTGCTCGGTACCATTCTCTCACCCACTCTCTCTCCTCCTGATCTTTCTGGCTGTAGATCTGACAGTATGTCTCCGTGTGTGTCACTGTGATATTTATAAACCCTCATGCGTCTTTTCATAGGTACGCCCACAGAGGAGACCTGGCCTGGAATAACCTCCAATGAGGAGTTCATCTCCTATAACTACCCCCGTTACCGCGCTGACTGTCTCCACAATCACACTCCACGGTAACGACAGCTGTCCTCTGGGCCTGATGCCTGAAATGATCATCGCTCCTGCTGTAAAAAAAACCACATGCTGCTGGAGGTCATTTATTGAAGTTGCATTATTTTTTTCTTGCAGATTGGACAATGATGGAGTTGAACTTCTGTCGAAACTGCTGCAGGTGATTTGTGTATTATTTAGTCAACTAAAGTCACGTTTACTTATAGCACTTAATACAGACTGCACATATAATACAGACTGTTCCAAAGCAGCTGTAAAAAGACAATAGTGGCATTATTCAGCTCAAGTTAGTTCATTTAAGCAGCTCTACAGAAAGCAACAGTGTCATTATTCAGCTCAAGTCAGTTTAATTTAAATAGAAATGTTAAAGATGAAGAAGGTCCCACCTCAAACTTACCCCACTGGTTGGGATGATTGTGTTTGAGCCACAGTGCTTGCACTTTTCAGGAAATATATAATACAGACTGTTCCAAAGCAGCTGTAAAAAGTAGTGGCATTATAGTGGCATTATTCAGCTCAAGTTAGTTCATTTAAGCAGCTCTACAGAAAGCAACAGTGTCATTATTCAGCTCAAGTCAGTTTAATTTAAATAGAAATGTTAAAGATGAAGAAGGTCCCACCTCAAACTTACCCCACTGGTTGGGATGATTGTGTTTGAGCCACAGTGCTTGCACTTTTCAGGAAATCGCACCTATGAATGCCTTGCTTACAGTAGATATCCTCATTAGGCAGGGATAAGAGGAAGTATTTAAATAATGACATTGAAAAAAATGGCACTTTTAATATATGGTTGTTCTCTTTCCAGAGTTCAGTTGTCTGAATATTTATTTGTCTGTATACATTCTTTGTAGTAGTTATTTGAAACAACTTTTCATGGTCAATTTTAGTGTTATTCAGCAACCAAATAGCTATTAACATTGTTAGGCTACCATTGTCATTTCATGTTGAATTCTAAAAATGTGTGAGTGTTTTGGTAACTTGCCTTATATTCTATAGTTCAAAGGTTTTGGGTTGTGGAATGTTTTTGTAAGAGAAATCTGTGTTCATTTGATTTTTACTATTTAAAATAACTGTTTTCCTTTTGAATATATGTTAAAATGTCATTTATTCCTCTGATGCAAAGCTGCATTTTCAGCATCATTACTCCAGTCTTCAGTGTCACATGATCCTTCAGAAATCATTCTAATATGCTGATTTGAAACATTTCTTTTAATTATCAATGTTGAAAACAGTTGTGCTGCTTAATACCTTTGTGGAAAGCATTTTTAAAAGAATCTTTGATGAATATAAAGTTCAAAAGAACAAATTTATTTGAAATGAGAATCGTTTGTAACAATGTCTTATAAACATCTTTCACTTTGACTTTTGATCCATTTATTGTATCCGTGCCAAAAAAAAAAAAAAAAATTGAAATACTCTTTTTCTTTCTTACTACCCTAAACTTTTGAATAATAGTGTATAATAATGTTGTGTTTTTTAGTCAGTTATTTAGTGAGCTTTTTGCGTGTGTGCTTGACTTAACACTGAACTTTGTCTTAGTTTGAGGGGAAGAAACGGATCGCAGCAGAGGAAGCCATGAGACACCCATACTTCCACTGCCTGGGAGAGAGAATTCTCACACTGCCAGACAGTGAGTTCACGTATACACACACACATCTCCTTCCACTGAGGAGATTTATGATGGTGCCAGATAACAGATTCATGCGCACACACACACACACACCTCACACTGACAGATAGAATTATTAAAGTGCCAGACAGAAGTCTCACACATACACATACTTTACTTCGAAAGACATTTAATTCCACCGAGCCGCTATGAGCTATTCTGTATTTGCACTGAATCAGGTCGGTGTGTGCTGAAATAAGCCTGCACAGATTTTCTGACTCTTAACATTATATATCAGCCCTAGTTTTAGTTCAGCGTGTTAACATAACTGTTCAATTTCTCCCTGCCAGCTACATCAATATTTGCACTTCAAGAAGTTCAGCTGGAGAAGGAGCCTGGAATGAGGACGAATACTCTGTCAGAATCAGGTAAAACCACAAAACACAAATGTCGGATGATGATTCATGATGATAGATTTGAGCTTCATCCATCAGTGTACCATGTGTTTCTGACCTCTCTGTGTATGGCAGCACGTCATCTGGCATGACTCTCAAACAGTCAGAATTTTTTTAATCTTGCCGACATTTATCTCAATCTGGCCAAGAACCGTCCAGAGAAGGGCTATAAATTGACCCAACCGTGATTTTTGTGTGACATTTGAATGTAATTCTGGAGGATAAATCTGAATCAGAATAAACAATATTTGCTAAAGAATATTTACTTTTTGTCTCAAACAAAACGGCATTAGCATTGCTATTTTTGTCACAACTACAGAGTAGTTCTTCATAGCACTGATTTTAGCAGCTGTATATTTGTTTTCTGCCAGACTGACACTACTAGTTAAATGTTTGGACACACCTACTTGTTCATTATTTTTACTGTCATCATTTTACAATAACAGTAAATTCATTACAAAAGAAATAACACCAACTGAAGAATGGGAATGAAGGTGTTCACATGTATCCACCTTATTTTTGCCATAAGAGTGGGCGTGGCCATTTGTAAATTTAATGTGTCTGGCTTCCTGTGTCATTTGTGTTCAGCTATTTTTAGCTGTACAAAACAGCTCGTTTTGCTGCTTGATATTGCAAGTTAGAGGGTCTTACCATGTTATTTTAATGTATTATCTTAATTATGAACACACTGGTTTGTAGTGCAAACAGTTTTACTGTTTACTGCATGTTGTTATTCTTCTCATTATTTCCCTATAGCGGCTAATGAACCGGAAGTCTCAGACATTCACAGAAAACAGCTTACTTCCGCGTTGAAAAATAAGGTGGATAGTACTTTTTTTTTTTTTTCAATGATATTATTACTTTTATTCAGCAGGGATACATTTAATTGATCAAAAGTGAGAGTAAAGACATTTATAATGTTACGAAAGATTTATTTCTTTTATTTCTATTTCCATTTCTATAAATGCTGTTTTTGTGAACCATCAATTCCTTAAATACATTTTAAAATGTTTTGTGAGCAGCAAATCAACAAGTCAAAAGAAAAAAAGAAATTCAAATTAATTTAAAAGAAAATCAAGTCATATGTCATCAACAAAACTGCTTTCAAGCATTTAAGCATAGGTCTACTACATATGAAGGGTTCATTTGCAAAAACCGATAACTCCATTTTTTTTTTTCAGAAATCACTTTTTTTTTTATTGCGCATTCCAAGTAATATCAATCAAACTGCAGTTGGGTTGTTTTGATTACGTAATAATAACTTAAACAAATACAGGTAATTAAAAAAATTTAAGTTAATTGAAAGTATGTTATTTTATTTTTTTTACATATTAAAAGTGTGTTTTACAGCAAAAGCCGATAACTCCAACAGTTGTTTTTTTGGCAAAAGCAGATAACTCCACATTTCATGTTTTAGAGCAGGGGTCACCAGACACGGTCCTGGAAGGCCAGTGTCCTGCACAGTTTAGCTCCAACCCTAATCAAACACACCTGAACCAGCTAATCAAGGTTTTACTAGGTATACTTGGAACTTCCAGGCAGGTGAGTTGAGGCAAGCTGGAGCTAAACTCTGCAGGACACCGGCCCTCCAGGATCAAGTTTGGTGACCCCTGTTTTAGAGTTTAAACACTCGTTTAATCTTTGTAATCTCCTCGGATGACAATGTAGATGCCTAACAAACGTTGTTGTTGTTGTGATCATAAACTGTATGGATGTGATTACACGCAATACACGGAGCTTTTCCCTCAACCATTGTAACGTGCGGCTTTTGCAAGGTTCCGTGAAAACGTTTCAGCTTTTATTTTCCTTTTTCGCCCTGAAGAAGATATCACAGGTTCATCAAGTTTGTCGAAATGATCCATCCTCGACCACTTTAGTCAGCTTTGACGAAACTCCTCTCAGCTAGCACGTCTTTTCAAAGTGAAAGTAGCCTTGTCACCTGACCAGAATACAGCGCGCTGATTCGCTAAAATGGACTTATCGGCTTCTGTTCAAAAACAACAAGGGCGCTTGTCGGCTTCTGCAGTAAAGCGTGAACTCGCGATGCCTTGAAAGTGGACACAACCGGCTTTTTTGACAGAACGTGTTTAGGGTTCAGATCGCACTATATGTGGAGAATAATGCACGGCAATCAGCTCATTTTTTTTTAAAGTGGCGTTTATCGGTTTTTGCAAATGAACTCTTCATATATACAGTATATATATACATATATATACATGGTAAAAAGGAGCATTCAGTCCAGTCTGTCTAAACTTCATAGTATGTGTACCCCGACTCCCAGAAATTGCATAAAGCCAGCCAGTCAGATAGAGACAGATGTTTTCAGCCAGTTCTTGCTATATTTTTGTATGCAGTATACATTAGATGATTCGACTGAGGCAGAGTCTATAATTTATATGACTTTGCTGAGCACACTGTTCCCTTACCATCATCTCAGTCATATTCCTCCTGCATATTATTCATGTTCATCAAATGAGATGAACTCTATTGCTCATCATGACACAGCTCATTTTCTGTGCTCTCTCCTTCTTCTCACATTGCTCATCTTCTCTCCTAATAGTTTTCTTCTCACCGTGCTGTAGTCAGAGACGCTGGTTTACTCATCTTTCTCTCTCTCTCTCTCTCGCTCTTCATATCCCTCATTCTTTCTTTTTTGCTCAATGCATTCTTCATCTCTGACTGCCTCACATTGGTTTGGTTTACACCTGGTATTAAGATCCCCAAAATGGATTTCAGTGACATATTTAAACAGGATCTCTTTCTCTTTCTTCTTAACATCCATCCTTTTCTCTTTATTGTCTATCTGCAATTCTAAGTTAGTTTCTCATATAGGCTTGTTAAGGCACAGTTGCGATGATGCCGTTGCGTTAGAAATTCTCATGAGGAAGTTCTTGTTAAGCTCCATGTATTATGCAGCTCATTCACTGCTAACTTTGTTTTCTGCTCTTGTCTTTCCCATGGTCTCTCTGTCTCTTTTCTCTCCCTGCCTATTTGTATGTGCTTTGATTTATTTTTTTTGATTTACACCACTGCTTCACTGCGCTTCAGAGCTTTTGCAAAGATGTCTAAGGTTCCGGCATACCTTAGGTACATATTTGTCGCCCTCCACTCAATGCAGGAGGTCAAAAACAACAAAACCATATTTCTTCCCTTGAGTTTCCTGTTCATCTGTACTGTCCAGTTGTACCCTATAGGAATTGATCACATCTGAATCACTCCTCAGATATTTCAAAAATACATTTTCTCTTTTAATTGAGTGCATAGGTAGACTTTAAGATGTAATGGACTCATGCACTGCTTGAAATTAGAAATACATTAGCTTCCATCACTGAAGTAAATAAGAACACACAGACTAAGAATACACTGCACCAGCAGATTACATCAATACATTGACACTCTCATCTGTCACATTTTTCCTTTTCTGTGTATGGTATGAAAATGTGCACGGACTTCCACTGTCTGTTTTGGCAATCCGCATGATGTGCATGTCAAAACCAGGGTTGCCATGTTGGTTTTCAGCAAATGGTTAAAACATTTGCAAAATGAGGGATTTTCCTGCTTATTATTGATTGTAAAATAAACTAAAACCATAATGTTTTGGTGATCTAAAAATATTGGTAATTCACGGGCTGAGGTTACATAATATGTTCATAGGCAGGTTCTCCTGTGAAAAAACTCATCATCTTCCACTCAGAACTCATATGTATTCAGTTCACGAATTGATGAAGCTGTCAGGCCAGAGCTTATAATTATTCAGCGTTTATGCAGAGCACTAAAGTCAGTGCTAAATATGAATATTAATCCATGCTCTCAAAGTCTCAGTGTTGAAATCACTGATGAAATGCCAAAGGCTGGTGCCGTCCGATTGAAATTGTTCCACCTGTCTATAAAAACACATTACAGATTATTTTTATTGTAAGGAAATTATAACTTTTATTGAGCAAGGATGCATTAAAGTGATTAAAAGTCACAGTAAAGACATTTATAATGTTACAAAAGATTTCTATTTCCATTGCACTTGAACTTTCTATTAATCAAAGAATCTAAAAAAAAAAATGTATCATGGTTTCCACAAAAATATTAAGCAGCTATTTTCAACATTGAAAATAATAAGAAATGTTGCTTGAGCGCCAAATCGGTTCAGAATGATTTCTGAAGGATCATGTGACACTGAAGACTGGAGTAATGATGCTGAAAATTCAGCTTTGCATCACAAATATAAATTACATTTTAAAATACATTTAAATAGAAAAAAATTCTTTTAAATTGTAATAATATTTCACGATATACTGTTAAATGAATAAGAGACTTGATTGAGTAGTTTATTCATTATTTCATTAGACATACTGAAAACAGACTGCAGTAAAAGTGTAGAGAGACGTAAATCAGAGCCAGAGAGGGAAATAAAGTAATATGGGTCATTTCTCTGCAATGTTTTTAGCATTGAATTTTTCCGTTCTTTTCTTGAGCATGACATTAAACAAAATGGAGCACGCTGTGCTCAAGTTTGACTGTATCTCAGTCTTGCAGAGAAGCTGTAATATGCAGAAACAGAGGAGAAGAGCTTGCTGTGCAAATACCCCTCTTCCCTCACCAAATAAGAAAACAGCCCAGGCTTCTCTAGAGCTTTAAACTGAGCATGTGTGGGTGGCTGTGTGTTTGGGTGCACGTCTCGCCTACTCTCTTGCCCAGTTCTCTAAATGAAGTGAGTGCTGATTTTCTCTCTCTCTCTCTCTCTCTCTCTCTCTCTCTCTCCCTCCCTCTTGTGACCCTTCATACCCTCTGACGGTCCTTATGAGTGATTGTGCATTTGGCTTTATCGTGCACAAAGTTGCATGCACCATTTAGCAACTGAACACTCGCTGTCCGTTTATGTAGCCTAAACTTCCTCTTTTTCTTTTTCTCCAGTCAACAGCATATCTCAACGGCAAAGTCTGCTCTTCTGAGGGCACGTGGGGCGGCTCGGGACGGGGAAGACGGAAAAGATAAACAGGGAGGACGCGTCGAGACGTTTCCTGTCGTGAAGATGAAGGGGATATCTGTTTTTCATTTCTCCGTCTGAGTCATTGGCTAGTCCTGTGGCATTACGTGTTTAGAAGGGGTCAATGTAGTTGTTTACATGGAGAGGCTGAGGATGTTGATTTGTGTATTTTGAATAATGCACTTCCCCTTCCTTCCCTGTTCACATTACAAACATGTTCTTCCTGTTTTGCTGTACCTTCTCGACACGGTTGCATCAATCCAGCCGCTGTACTCAACCAATCAGACGCAGAATGTTATTGGATGACCTGACTCTTCATCCTTTGACTGAAACAAATCAGCCTGGTTTCTTTGCAATACTTCTCAATTGTAATGTAAAAGGAAGGCCAGTTTATGAAGGAACGTGTCATGAATGCTGTTAATATCCAGAAGCCAAATCACTCTAGTCTTCCAGAAAATGGTCCCCTTCATTAGTGTCATCAGCCCTCCCATCCAAAGACGAACATTTAGTACTATGCCAACACAATGGTTATTTGTATTCATCAGAGCATTGACGACGACATGTCAACTTTTGTTTTTGTTTGCAAAAGCATTTGACTTTTAAGTTGATGTTTACATGTTTTTTTGCCACGCAATACAGGTTGATAATCTAGAAAACGGTTTCACCAAAGACCCCCATGCCATCTCTCTATCCCTTTTGGTTTGACTTATGAGCTTCCATTTCCATCGTAATGTTCAAGTGAACCCTCGATTAGCTACACTGTGTCAAGGACAAATTATTTGTGCAAAGCAACTTAGAACGTTTGAGTTGCATTGAGGAAAGCCTCCGATAATCTCGACGCAGCCTTGTTGATAGTTCTTCCATTACTGCAGCTCTTACGGCTGTCACTCTGGTTGAAAACTGAGCTGATTTCTATGTCGGTTCAGTCAGGGCGATGAGAACTCATAATGGGATGCCCGGGCGCATGCGGAGAACCGATCGAATTGTATAGGGCTCAGGTTTCTGACACTCTGCAGAACAGCTGAGTGCGGTGGATAATGTTCTGCATCTCGGCTCGGTTGTTCATACTCCGCAGGTTTTGGAGCGCATTGGTGTCGCGTAACACACCGCAGATTCAAAACGCTACCGTCCCTTGGCGTGTGCGATTCAGGGCCTCTCTGCACAATGTCTGCGATTATACAGTCCCACAAATGTGATTATTGGGTAAATCTCTGGAAAAAAGAACAAAAAAAGAGTCAAGGTGATATTTCACCCTGAAATTACGAGAAAAATAATACATTTGATTTATTATAAAGTAGCCAATTTTTTTAGGACTATTAATCTCTCTTTTTTTTTTTTTGCATTGTGACATCATCAGCAATTAGTCTCCAAATTCTTATTCCTGTAATAATTAAAAAAGCATTATTTAAATTGTATAAAACTTTTGTAAATTACTAAAATACAGTGTATTCAATATATTGTATTTTTTAAAGCATATGTGCATGGTAATATTTGTTATACTCTTTTTATCAGTGCAAATCATTTGATAGTAACTTTTTCCTGTAATACAGCATAATTTTACTGTATTATGAGAAATAGTCAAAAGTAAAAAAAAAAAGTAAAACTTCCAAGCGCATTACAGTAGTAAGGAGGGAAATTTGCTAAGTATGTAAATAATGTTTAAAAAATTGTCACCATGCAAAAAAAAAAAAAAAAAACTTTTTTTTTTAAATGTAAAATATAATTCTTTTTTGTCTCTTTATTTCTGGGTGAAATGTGACTAGATATTTTTTGCAAGATTCACCCCATTAGAGCTGAATGCAGAGGAGATTAAAACGTGTTCTCAGTTTCCGTCGGTGTTACTAGATGGATGATATTTGAGTAAATATCAAATTTTTTGAATTAATTCAAGCAATCCCAAAATGTTTGGTCTGGTGATAGATTGTGACTTCCCTTCCTCCCTGTTGGAGATGACCTGAGAATACCTGTGCTGCATATGTGTGCGTGAGAGACGCTCTCGATGAGGGGAATGCAGACTTGCATGGCATTGTATAGTGGAAGCCTGTGGTACTTTGTAAATAGCCTTAGAATGTTTTTTGCAGATCAGAAGCGTGGAGAGTGCAATGAGAAGATCCTCCTAACAATGTATAATTTTTAAAGCAAAGAAGAATATAATTTTTTGTTATACTTATCATTGATGACATTGTTCATTGTGTTCTATCTTTTTTTTTTTTTTTTTTTTTATAAGATGTAGTAACCAGACGTTACTACCATAGGAGACTCATGTGGTGTAGATATTTGGTTTTGATGTTTGTTAGGATGAAAACGGCTCATCTAATTTAAAGCTTTCATCTGGAATGCGGACGGACTGCAGTGAAAGGGCTTCAATGGATAAGCGTGGCCAACTGTTCATTACTGCGCAATAATTGCTAATTTACGCAATAACTTTTTCTTTGAAAACCCTCTTGTTTTGAAATGAATTTGGTTCTGATTTTGGCGTGCATTGCATGTCATTAAATATAAAAGAAGCAAATAATGCCAGAAATTGTCATGCAAAAACTCAAGGCTGTTTTATTGCCCATTTTATGTGGAATTGAATAAGTGAGGTTTTGATATGATTGCAGGTGAAATGCTTTTATACACGGAGACACTTTGAGCAAATATGGACTTCATACGGTTTTCAGTATGTTTCTTTTGTACAGCTTGATCTTTTAGAATAGGCATTTTATGTGAAACAAAACTTGATCATTGATCAGTACAGTATTTTCTTTTGCTTTTTTCTTTTGCAATTGTATCCACTTAAAAAGCCCAGAGTTTCAGGATTTTCAGGATCTTCTCCAGTTGGCGGTTGTCCATACGTGAATGCAAGAAGGGAGCGATGTGGTCTGCTGTTCTATAAATGTTAAGAGCGATTTAAACACATTAAGCAATACTCACTGTTAATGGACATTTCACATCTCATGGATATCGAATGCAGGAAATCCTCTCAGATGGCCATAGTATATTTTCAGTAAATAATTATGCATATATGAGTGGTCACTTGTTCTGTTTGAGTCTAGGGATGTTAACCACTAATAACAGTTGTAAAATATTTGATGCAGTGTTAAGAATCCCTTTTCCTGTTCTTTTGTTTATAATCTTTGAGTTCTTGCAATTGCAATAGTCAATCTTTACACCCAGGAACATGTGGATCAGAAGTATGTTGACAGAAAATCTTACAATACACAAATATAGCTGACTGTTACTTCCTGTTGCTTGAATGAATGCTGAACTCCTTTCCAACCGACTTGATCCATCTCTGTTAATTATGAAGCATGGAGTGGACTCATTTGAATATTGGCACAAACAAGCTGTAAAACATTCAGGTGGAGTAGAACAAATGTGAATACTATTTGCTGGCAATATAATCAATGTCCCAAACTTGAAATTTGTTCTATTTTTTGTTTACATTTGTCTTTTCAAGTTTAAGAACATTTGGGTAACTCATATTTAAAGGTAATAATATTATATATTTATAAGTTTGCATGTTCGTTACATATTAAAAATAATTCCCAATATATACGTAAACCCAAATCCATACATATTCGGATCAGTCACCACAGCAACCTGAAAAGATTTGATCATATTGACCACAGTACATTAATGACACCCATTATAACAAGTGCTTTGTCAGATTGTGGTTTTATTTTAGAAAACTCACAAAAAAAAAAAACAATCTAGAAAATCTTAATTTATATGTCACCCATAGTTGAACTCATTCAGATTCCACTACTAAAGGCGGCTTAATATTGATTAGGTTTATGCATGAGTTTTATTGAGTCAGTAAACTCAAGATTAATGTGCAAATCCAAGAGGTTTAAAGTGCCCCTATTATGGGTAATGAAAGGTTCATATTTTGGTTTTGGGAGTCCCCAACAACAGGTTGACATGCATGCAAGGTCAAAAACACTTTCATTGTCTTATAATATGCATTTATTTTACTGTACTTGCTCAACGACTCCCAAACGATTCGCTCAATGATTCATTTTTCCAAACCCCTCATTTGCGTGACGCTAATCTGCGGTGATTGGTCCGATTGGTCTCATTTTCGTTTCATCATGCCAGTAATGCCTGATAAAGCAGCGTTTGTAAGCGCAGTGCTGCTTTGTGTACAGCGTTACTGCTTAGAGCTGTGTTACACACTGCATGAAAGGTAATTTTCAAAAATGCATAATAGGGGCACTTTAAACAAACATGGTTTTGGAGCAACATCTAAATGTGCCTTTTAGAATCAATAACAACAACAAAAAAAATAGTAGTTTTGGTATTACAAATTTGTTTGCATTAACACATTTGGCACAAATGGCACCAAACTGACTCGAATATGAAATATGACCCATCATATGAACATTTACATATAAAACAAGTTTGAGGAAGGTTTATATTTTTAACAGTGAAGGAAATCATATATTTCTGATGACATACACACACATGGCTCATGGTGACCACAGTTGGACACCAGAATGAAGCTGAAGTGACAAGAACTGCTTTTATTTTACATTATTATTTCAAATCCGTAATGTCCATCCATCACGCATTGACAATATTTTTGTGACATTTTTAGCAGCTATATATTTAAACTGAGGATTTGAAACTTGATGTGTTTTCCTTGATATAAATCAATGCAGTTCTTTTTCATTTCAAGATTTCTGAGCAGTAAATATGTGCCTCAACATGTATAATACAGCAGCTTGGTTTGTCGACTGCTTTTGCGCTTTTGCTATTGGTCAATGCCAAAGTTATCCGAAGCCTTGCATGGGTTGGTGTTTCATTTTTCCAAGGAATGTTATAATGCTGACACCCTGCTTTGTGTTTCTTACCGAGCCAGTTTTACTGCAGAGAATTACTGTTATGATAAAAACCACATACTTGTATAACCCCGGTATTCCCACACACATCTTTAAAAAATGTTATATAATTCTGTTCATTTATTGTATCAAAGATATACAATTCAATAAAGGTATGTACATTTCTGAATAACAAGTTGTATCTATCTTCTATGAGTATATACAAGCTTATTTAAAAAATGAAAGTGTATTTATAAAATTATGTTCTAATCACTATATATATTGTGATTATAATGTAGTCACTTTTGATCAATGTCATGCATCATTGCTGAATATTAAATTATATATATAGTTACAAGTTATATATGTTCATACTATATATACTTCATATAGCCTATATATATAAACTTCATACTATATACTTCATTTGATCAAATATGTAAATTATTATTATTATTATCAAAAAGTGTACATTTCTGAACAATAATTTGTACCAGGTCCTCATCCTTGGGTGAGCCAACTCATCCAAAAGATTAGATAAAATCCGTAACATGTTAACTAACATATATGTGCATAGAAATGCAACTTTCTTTAATCAAGTTAATAAGCAATCAAGTCAAGTTAGTTGTTTGGGCGGTTTCTGTGATTGATTCTTTTTCCTGGTGCATTTTCAGCGTTCCCTGTGAAATCTGTGATTGACTCTTCAGGTCTGTTCGTTTTCAAGATGGCGCCGCTCACACCTTCCACACGTGAATTGTTCAGTGAAGCAGTTCGGGCTGTTTTGGAAACGTGGCCGGTGCTACAAGTTAGTAAATTTACAACATTATATTCCGAAGAATATATATTTCGTAGAATAGCGTCATGTTTATTAAGCAAGCTTAGGTTTATTCCGCATTTTACAAATTCAGAAACCAGACTGCTAACGTTACGTGGTTAGCAAGTTAGCGCTGCCAAGTGTAAACATGCCGTTAATATACAATAAACATGCATGTAACTCTTAAAGTTCTGTCTTGTCACGATATGTGTCCAGCTGCACAGGAGTCGTGATGATGCACATCTTGAGCAGTTGCTGATCTTGTGATTTGTAGCTTTGAGTGTTTTCTCGCAGATCGCGGTGGATAATGGTTTCGGAGGCGCGTACAGTCAGCAGAAAGCGGAGTGGATGGTGGACGCGCTGCAGCAGTACTTCATCGATAACGGTCAGAGCCGGTGAATCATTCACTAACGCTGTGTAGATCTCCTCATGTCACAGCAAACCCGCTTGTGCCTCCTCACAGATGAGCTGCAGCAGGACGAGGTGGAGGAGTTCATCTCTGACCTGATGAACAACGAGTTTGACACGGTGGTGGAAGATGGCAGCTTGCCGCAGGTTTGCTCTGTTGTTGAATAGATATTAGTCGAAGGTGTTTACAGTTGGCGAGCTGAGTCTCTCTCTCTGTGTGTGTGTGTGTGT